CACGAGTTTTTAACCGGAAACTAGGTCTGGTCTGAGGCCAAGGGAACGACCTCCCGTGCTGGCGCCTCCACAGCACAGAGTTTGGCCGGGGAGAGCGGGTGGGGGCGGGGGCAGCACAGCCCCTGGAAGTCTCTGGAATCACTTCTCATGCCCTCTGCACCTGTTTTCAGGAGGCGCTTCATGTTTGTGCTGGTTTGGTGTCTTTTTCTTAAAAATGCACTCATGTTTTCTGTGTAGCCCATCTTTTGGCCAAGCAAGCGCATGGCGTCTGTGGCAGAGATTTTCCCAAACATCCTGGTTCCCTCCCTTTCTCCTACCGAGGCCACAGCCAGTCCATGTCACCTCCCAGGTCCTGGCACCCGCTTTCCCCTGTGAGCCTCTGCCAGTGGCTGTTGGGACTTTAGTCCCTTTAGTCCCTGGATTCAAGAGCTCTGGGGCATGGTGGGGGCGGGCAGGGACAGACAGGCCAGGCTTCAGGCTTCCAGCACAGCCGCGACAGTCCGGCACAGCTGCGACGCTGGGGAGCAGGTGAGCTCGGGTCTGGTCCCCACCACGCCCGTGTCCGTCTTTCCTGTCCCCCACAAGCACCTCTGGTCCTCGAGTGCCCACCACCTACGCCCTACCCCGCTGGCTGCCCGGGGTCCCCAGGATGGCTCTCTGCCCAGGGATCCTCCTCTTTCCTGCCCTACCATCAGCACCTGGCCCAAAGGTGCGACCATGGACAGGGCCCGATCCTGCCTTGTAGGAAGAGGCTAGGACTGTTTTGCTCCATAGAAAGCAGGGGCAGCCTTTTCATAAAGCTTGGGAATCCATGAGCCTTAGAAGAACTGTCGCTGCCTCCAGGGACATGAGGTACAGTTGTACAGCTTGTGCACTGCACACAGGCCCTCAGCCGGGGGTGTGTGGGGGCTGCTTCTGCAAGCTGTGCCCTGGAGGCGGCTGCATGGGGCAGGAAGGGATGGCTTTCTAGAATGCTTCCGCCAGGGCGCGACACGGGCTCAGCCCATCACCAGCCCCAGCCTCCTGCTGCTGCAGCAGGAGCCCGACCTCCACCTGCACGGGCTCGTGTGGGCCCCTCGCCCTGAGAGGCAGGCGCCCCTGCCCTCCGGGCCTGCTCAGCGGCCTGCCCCCCCATCCGCCGCCCCAGGCGACGTCCTGCATGAGCTGCTCCGGTACATTCAGACCCGGCGAGCCGTGGTGTGTGGGCCCTTTTCAGGAGGGGCCTTCGGGCAGAAGATGCTCACCCCGCACCCTCCAGCGCCCCCCAGAGGGGAAGGCGGAAGCTCTTCCTGGAGCTCTGAGCCCCTCAGATGAGCCTCCCTGGGCGGGCGGGCTTCCTCCAGGCTAATCGAGGAAAGAGGCGGGTGTGGGCTGAGCTGCTGCCTCCCAGCCCTGCCCGGCCCTCCCCTCCGGCCTGGGGCACCCCTGGCAGCCCTCCCTGCCCCAGCCCTCCCGTCGCACGTCCCCACTGCTCTGGGTCCTCTCCTGCAAAGCGCTGTCCGTATCACGCCTCAGTCTCCTCTCCTGATCTCTCCGTGGAAACCGTTCTTGTCAGGGTCCCGGGGCCCTGAACACGGGGATGTCCGTGTCCACACCCAGTCCTTATCACCGTGACCTCTCACGGCCTTTGATCCTGTGGGTCACCCCTCCACCCCCAAACTCTTTCTCCCCTTGGCTTCCAGGACACCCCACTCACCTGGGTCTCCTCCACCCCCCTGGTCTTCCCTTCTCCATCTCCTTTTCCGGTTTCTCCTCTTGTCCCCACTTCTAAATGCCGAGGTTCCCAGGGTCAAGGGCCTCTCGTCTTCTCTCTCCGCACTCAGACCCCGGGGATCTCATCTCGCCCCGGGTGTTAGACACCATGAAGTGCCAAGGATTCGCACGTATGCCTCGACCTCCAAATTCCAGAGGTGCACAACACGCCGCCTGGCTCGCGCCTCCACTGGGATGGCCCCAACAGCCCTAACCAACGCCCCCTCCTCTCCCAGGCTTCCCATCCCAGCATGCCCCGGCTCCCTCCTTCCAGTTGCTCCACCAAGACATCAGGTGTCATCTGTGATTCCTCACTCTGTCCCCGCCCTCATCCCAACTGTCTGCAAATCCTGTCGGCTCTGTCTTCAAGTTCGTCCAGAATCCAGGCGCTTCCACTCCTCCACTGCAGCCCCTGGGCCAGCCCCCATCGCCTCTGCAGAACCTCCTCACTGGTCTGCTCAGCCCGCTCTTGACCTCCTGCGGTCTGTTCTCAAGAGCGGCCAGGTCAAGTCACCTCTCTGCTCAGAGTCCTCCAGTGGCTCCCTTCTCACTCAGAGCCACGGCCACAGTCCTTACAATGACACCCTGCCCCTGCCCTCCTCTCCCAGCCCTCTCTCCCTTGCTCATGCCGATCCAGCCACCCAGGGCTCCATGTTCATTGAACAAGCCTGAGACGCTCCTGCCTCAGGGCCTTTGCACTTGCTGTTCCTGCTGCCTGGCGTTCTCCTCTCTGCTCTCGACACCCACATAGCTCACGCCTCTGCCTCCTACAGGTCTTTATTCAACTGTGAACATGTTGGTGAGGCCTGACCGACCTCTCTAAAATTGCAGCCCTGCCCTTCCCTGATCTCTCTATCTGTCTTTTTTTTTTTTTTTTTGAGACAGAGTCTCACTGTGTTGCCCGGGCTAGAGTGCCGTGGCGTCAGCCTAGCTCACAGCAACCTCAAACTCCTGGGCTCAAGCGATCCTTCTGCCTCAGCCTCCTGAGTAGCTGGGACTACAGACATGTGCCACCATGCCCGGCTAATTTTTTCTATATATTTTTAGTTGTCCAATTAATTTCCTTCTATTTTTGGTAGAGACGGGGTCTCGCTCTTGCTCAGGCTGGTCTCAAACTCCTGAGCTCAAACAATCCACCCGCCTCGGCCTCCCAGAGTGCTAGGATTACAGGCGTGAGCCACCGCACCCGGCCTCTCTCTATCTGTCTTATGGTGCTTTATTGTCTCCCAATGTTACATATTGTTTCTATTTCCTTTTTTATTTTAATCATCTACCCACCCACTAGCATATAATTTCCCCAAGGACAGGGGCTTTTTTGGGCTCAGTGATGTGTCCTCAAGATTCTTAGAACAATGCCTGGTTCATAGAAGTTTCTCAATAAATATGTACTGGGCAAATACAGGGGACACTGGATACAGGGCACCTGGGTTCCAGACCCGGCTCTGTCACCTGCTGGCTTTGCAACCAGTTTCACAGATGACGAAACAGGCTGAGAGGTTCAGCCACTTGTCTAGGGGCTGCAGTTAGCACCTGGGCTGCTGGCCCTCTCGCCCGGCCCTCCACTCCCTCCCTGACCTTCTAACCAGGGGCTGGGTGGAGGCAGAGCATTGGGGTGCTGCCCCACGGGGCCCCCAGGCTCGCCATTAAGGGGGCTGGGGTGGGGGAGGCTTGGGGCCCACAGAATCCACGTGCTCATCTGCTTGCAGAGGGGACCGGGCCCTTTTGGGCAGCCCACCGAAGGGGCCTCCTGCAGCAGCCACCAGCCCCAGGGCTTGCCAGCTCCTTCAGTCACCTGGATGCCTCCGGCCTGGCCAGGTTGCCCCCCGGCAGGGTGGAGTCCCTCAGCTTATCTCACTGTGCGGAGCTCGGCTGCAGGACCCAGGGGGTCTGCTCCTTCCCCGCGATGCCACAGGCCTCCATGGACGGCAGGATCGCCAGTGAGTAGCAGGCTGTTTCTGGGGGAGTGGTGGGGAAGGTGTGGTGAGGCCAAGTCCCAGAGGGGTCATGGGTGATGAGGACAGAGTTGTTTTGCCCGGATGATAGCGGGTTTGTACTGGGGGGCTGGGGGGTGAATGAGCTGCCTGTTTCACAGATAAGGAAACCAAGGCACAGAGAGGTTAAGTAACTTCCCCAAGATCACACAGCACTGGTGGAGCTGGGATGTGAACCTGGGCAGTCTGGCCCCAGAGCCTGAGCTCTAACCAAATAATACACTTCCACTTCGCATTTATTGTTAAAGGATTGATCAACAGATGGACAGCCAGACAGACTCACAGATCAGCTGCCCAACTTTCTGAGGCATGTTTTCTAGCCATGGTGGGGCACCACAGAGGGGGCAGGAGCCTGGCATCTGGGTTGGACATAACTGGAAATCACTAAAAACATAATTATTGGCCCAACACATAAAAATGATAAATACCTGAGGTGATGGATACCCTAAAAACCCTGACCTGACGGGGGGTCTCACATTCTATACATGTAACAAATGGCACTTATACCCCATAAATACGTGTAAGTATTACGTATCAGTTAAAAACACAATTATTGGATCTGTTTAATTGTAATGCTGACATGCTTGGGGCACTTAGCGTATGCCAGGCACTGCGCTACAGGTTTTGGTCTCCCGTGTTCCAATCCTCACAGCAGCCCGTGCGAGGAAGCTGTGGCTCAGAGGAGGCTGGGTGACTCGTCCGGAAGGGCCCAGCCGCAGGCCCCGGCGCTGGGAGTTAAGGTCACAATTGCTCCCGGACCCCGCTGCCACCTGCGCTGCATAATGGCGTGTTCGCTGTTCCTGAGCCTCCCCTTTAGGGGCTCGGGAGGGTGGGTGTCACAGTGGTTAGACATCAGGGGGCTGAGCGACTGCGCAGGGGCAGAGAAGGACCCGGAGTCCGAGGCCCGGCCACCGACCGTGGGCCCCGCCTGCTCTGTCACGAAGGAGCCTGGCTTTGCGGGGCTCGACTCCTCGCCTGCCTGGTACTCAGGTGCTCGGCCACTTCAGGCGCGTCCGGACCTCTCCGAGCCATGTCCTCACCTCTTCCTGGGGGTAAAGCAGCCACTTCCTAGAGTCGTGTGCACTGAGTGAGACAGTGAATGAGACCTCGTAACTGGCCGTTTCTGTTAACACCGTCGTCCTCGCCACCCTGCTGGCGCTCCCAGGGCCTTGGCCTCGATGTCCCTGAGAGCACCTTTCTGACACCTGTCCTCATAGTTCCAATAAGGCTGCTGCACCCCTGTGCTAAATTGCAGACTGCCGGTTACTGTGGGATTACGCGTATCAGCTGCTCCTGGACACCAGGCATGAGCCCTACATCAGGTGGGAAGACAAGAACGCCAAGATCTTTCGAGTTGTGGATCCAAATGGGCTCGCCAGACTCTGGGGAAACCACAAGGTGAACCTCAGCCCGCAAGCGAAATGGTTTCAACATTTCCAGAAGAGAATAGAGAAGGGGGTCAGAGTGGACCCCTCAGCACTAGGAGACAGTCCTCAACTGATGGGGCCTTCACCAGTAGCCCCAGAAGTGCCAGGATCATTTTATTTTGGGAGGTACTCAGGGACAGGCAGTTATCTCTTATGGGTGGGGAATGTCCCTGAAACTCAACAATTGTGCCTTCCGATTGCTTAATCTTACCATCGCTTAACATTTGAGGCTCTCAAAGCATGTTTCCATGAACTGCGCAGTGAGTGCTGCGGGCGGATAGGCCCAACGGGGAAGCTGGGGCAGAAACCCAGGTCTCAAGCTCCACGGGAGCATCAGATGTCACGGCCAGAAAGGCCTGGGAATGGCTGAGCCTGCATCCCATGGTGGGGAAGGTCTACACCTGGACGGGGGTAGTGATCTTAGGTGGTTGACCCCAAATTCTCGTAATTATTTATTTTCGAACTAGAATTTAAAAATGTTACTACTATTCCTATTTGATCATGATTTACAGTAGTAATGTAAAGAATGTGTCCTTTTTAAAATATAAAGAAGTTTAACTAAAAAACCGGGTCTTTGGCCGGGCGCGGTGGCTCAGGCCTGTAATCCTAGCTCTCTGGGAGGCCGAGGCGGGCGGATCGTTTGAGCTCAGGAGTTCGAGACCAGCCTGAGCAAGAGCGAGACCTCGTCTCTACTAAAAATAGAAAGAAATTAATCGGACAACTAAAAATATATAGAAAAGATTAGCCGGGCATGGTGGCGCATGCCTGTAGTCCCAGCTACTTGGGAGGCTGAGGCAGGAGGATCGCTTGAGCCCAGGAGTTTGAGGTTGCTGTGAGCTAGGCTGACGCCACGGCACTCACTCTAGCCCGGGCAAAAAAAAGTGAGACTCTGTCTCAAAAAAAAAAAAAAAAAAAAACCGGGTCTTTTAAAGAAAACTATTAAGCATAATGGTAATCAGCAATTTATAACATTTCCTAAAATGCAGTCGTGTCTGATTGCCGGGCACTGCTCTGAGGGCTTTACCTGTATTAGCTCATTTAATCCTCCCAACAACCTTGTGAGGTGGGTGTTATTGGATGCGGAAACTGAGGCACAGTGAGGGTTAACAACCTGCCCCAGAGTTTACTTCCCCCTCCCCACCCCCCAGGCTGTGTGGCCCGTGCTCCACTGTATCATGTTGCTCTCAGTAGTGCCGGTGGCCGAAAGGGTGCAAACAATTTAAGTTTGGGATTACTTGTCTGGTCCAATCTCCATATCACACAGGGAGGGATATGCCCAGACAGCAGCAATTCCATTTAATGAGCACATACTATGTGCCATGCACTGTGCTAAGTGGATTAGCTAATTCAATCCTCAAAAGAAACATGAGAGACAGATGCTCTCCTTCTCCTTATAGAGCCGGGAAAACAGCCTCAGAGAGGTATGGAAACTTGTCTAAGGTCACACAGCTGCCAAGTGGTGGAGCTGGGGCTTAACGCTGAACCCTAGGCTCTTTGCTCTGACCGTGCACTGCCTACACTCCACAGACAGGAAAAAAGACGTGGCCAAAGTCACACAGCTGGTGGCACAACCATCTGTACCACCCACCATGCTCTCTCTCTGATTGCATTCCCCACAAATGGATACACTTATTTGTTACTGCTTGTGACGTTTGCTATTTGACAGTGACATACAGCTCACTCCCACCCCACAGTCTCAGCTGGGTAGGTCAGAAAACGTCCTGTTATTTCTTCCCCAACCTTCCCCTGTCTTTCCCCTTCCAAATTCTAGCAAGCTCTTCTAAACCTCACAGAACCCTGGGTGGAGGGGCGCAAGAAGCCACCCAGTCCAACTTGCTCCCTTCCAGATGTGGAAAATGAGGCCTGGAAGAAGCAGGGTGTGGAGTGGGGTGCTGATGTGGGCTGCTTTGCATTCCAGAACTGGGTGAACATGGCCTACGAGAAGATGTCCCGTGCCCTGCGCCACTATTATAAGCTGAACATCATTAAGAAGGAGCCAGGGCAGAAACTCCTGTTCAGGTGAGCAGCCTAGGGGCTGAGGTGAAAAGGGGAAGCAGGGCTGGGGTTGGGTGGGCTGGGGCAGGGGCTGATTTGCAGCTGGGGCCTGAATTCCAGATTTCTAAAGACTCCGGGAAGGATGGTCCAGGACAAGGACAGCTGCTTGGAACGGCTGGAGAACCAGGAGTTCGAGGACGAGATGCCGGAAGTCTCTCTGCGAAGGGCAGGAGGACTCCCGGCACCGATGGGACAGAGACTGCCTGTCCCACGAAGGCAGCCTCCTTCCTCCTCCCAGGGCAGCGGGGATCCCAGCTGGGTTTTGTGCCGGTGGGATCGCAGCTGTTGTCCCGGGCCCCGGAGCTGCCTGGGGCCTGGGAGGGCGGGGAGGCCTCACATCCAGGACGGTGGAGGTGGGGGTTCATCCTTTGGGTCGAATGCCCTACCCCTTGGGACCTGCCCACCTCCGAGAGGAAGCCAGGCGTGGATAGGGCATCCAGCCCAGCGCCTTCAGTTTGCAGAAGGAGGGAGTGGAGGCCCCTCACTGGGCCTCAGATTTCCTCATCTGTGAAAGGGGCTCATAATAACCCACCCTCAGAGGCTGCTGCGTGAAGTGGGAGAAAGGGTCAGTGCTTTGTCGGCCTTGGGAACAATGACAACACTGGCGGCGATGTCTCTCAGGTGCTCGCTGCGTGCCGGGCCTCGCGCTGAGGGCCTTGCACATGTTTTCTCCCGCTTCATTCACATGCCAACGCCCTGGGTTTAAAGATGAGGAAGCTGAGGCAGAAGCTCGCAGAGCTGGCGTGTCCCTCCGGGACACGGTGCCGTGACCTGTTTTCCTTCAGCGCCTCTGAACGGATCTGGGCACTTCTCAGATGGAGGCCCCGGCCCCAGCTCTCTGCTCTGGGCGTCTTCGCTTCCTGCGCTCCTGCCCCCGCATCTGCCATGTGACCTCGGGCAAGATGCTCTTCCTCTCTGGAGCCTCAGGCTTCTCCTCTGTAAAATGGGGGTGCTTCTCCTGACCGGGCCTCGCAGGGCTGCCGGGAGGCTTCGTCCGGAGGGGGCGCTCTGCGTTCGGCTCCCTCCCTGCTCCCCAAGCCCAGTGCCAAGCGGGGCCTGTGCCCTGGCAAAGCCCCAGGGAAGGATGGGGGAGAAAGCGGGCGGCGTTTTCACTGACTGGAAGACAGAACTTCTCGATACGCATCTTCTTTCTGGGAAGGAGGAAGCTGCCTCTGCCCCTGGCAGCAGGTCAGGAAAGGCCCGCCTCTGACAGCCACCTGGGTCTCTGCACAGGAGAAGGCGATAAGGATTCTCGCACTTTGGGACTCAAAGCTGTGACAGCTCATGAGCAGGGAAACTCCCGGCTCAGTCCTGGCTGGGGCCACAGTCCACACCCGAAGGGGCCAGGCAGGTGGCTCTGGAAACAAGGTTCAGCAGGAAAATGCCTGGCTCTTTCACTTTCGCGCTGAGACTTCCATCTCCTGACCTTGCCGCAGGGTGAATCTGTGCGCAGGGGCTCGGCCCATCGCCTCCTCAACCCAGAACTGCATAGCCGGCCTGGCAGGGACGTCGAAATCCACTTGTCCAGGCCCCCATCTACAGATCCAGGCACTGAAGCCAGAGGCTTAACGACAGGCTGGATTCTTAGGCCACTTCTTCCAGTTACAACAGTGGCATTTACTTGCTAGCGTGTCAGAGGCTTCTACAGCTGCTTTCCCAAGGCCTATACCTTGCCCCAGGGTGATGGGTCTCACCCAGCGCTGGGACCGTCAGGGGCAGGAGTGGGCGTCTCGGAAGGCAGGTGTGGGCAGGCCCATGAGGCACATCAGGTCCTTGTCTGGGGACGGCCCCCTGCATGCCAGGAATAAAGGGATTCATTTGGGCCTTCCTTCCACAAGCATTAATTGAGCACCTACTCTGTACCTGGCACCAGGTGATGCTCCAAGTTTACATACATTTTTCACACTGAGTCCTGAAAAGTGGAGGGTCCCTGAAAACTGCGTATGTCAAAACCGACTTTCTCATAAAGCATTTTTTTTTTTTTTGAGACAGTCTCACTCTATCACCCTGAGTAGAGTGTGTCATCATAGCTCACAGCAACCTCAAACTCCTGGGCTCAAGCGATCCTCCTGCCTCAGCCTCCCGAGTAGCCAGGACTATAGGCGCACACCACAACACCCAGCTAATTTTTTACTTTTTAGTAGAGATGGGGTTTCATTCTTGCTGAGGCTAGTCTCGAACTCCTTAGCTCAAGCGAGCCTCCTGCCTCGGCCTCCCAGAGTGCTAGGATTAAGATCATGATTAAAATATTTCTTAAATGTTTCTGATTTGCGTATTCTGATTTCAGAACAACCCACTTTTGAGCCATCATGCCTGGCCAACACTTTTATTTTATTTTTTGGGAACAGGATCTCATTCTGTTGCCCAGACTGGAGTGAAGTGGCATCATCATAGCTCACTGCAGCCTCTAACTCCTGGACTCAAGTGAGCCTTCCAACTTGGCCTCCTGAGTAGCTGGGACTACAGGTACAGGCCACCATGCCCGGCTATTTTTTTTTAGTATTTTGTAGAGACAGAATCTCAGTAGATGCCCAGGCTGGTCTTGAGCTCCTGGCTTCAAACAATCTTCCCACCTTGGCCTCTCAAAGTGCTAAGATTATGGCCAAGAGCCACTGCACCTGGCCACAAAGAATTTCAAAAAGCAGAAGATACATTCTAATGGTTTGAAAAAGTAGCCAGGGGCCGGGCGCGGTGGCTCACGCCTGTAATCCTAGCACTCTGGGAGGCCGAGGCGGGCGGATTGTTTGAGCTCAGGAGTTCGAGACCAGCCTGAGCA